TCTTACATACATGGAGAATACTACAACTTTTAAAATTAAGTTCATGCTTCTCTTCTTGTACACTCCTCCTTTCTTTTCCCTACAGTTACCACTTAATTTTGGTTTTGCGTTTACCTGTATGTCTAGTTTAGCTTTTGAATTTAATCATTTTTGTTACTTCTTTTCCAGATGCTCAAACATATAATCCATTCATTTTATTATTTTCTTCTGAAAAACTCTGTCCCAGAGCCTTCTGTCCTGTCCTCCATTCTACAGATTGCTTTCTCACTTCGCTCCCCACAATCGTCCTAGGACTTCCTCTTACCTCCTTTGCATGTTGTATACACTCTATCCATGATCCCAGATCTTCCATTTTTCTTTACTTTCTCCTTTTGTTGAAGCATCCTTGGTAGCTTTCTAGTATCTCTGAGTCCTACACATGCCAGGGTTTTGCAAAATGAATCATCTCTTTCTCATCATGGGCTCCCTCTACATGGTTGCAACATCTACTCTCAATAGTCACCATGGAAGTATCCAGTTTCCTTTTCACAGAGTGTCTTCTCAGATGTCTCTTCTAACACTATTCTCTCCCTCACGAATTCATTCCTCTTTTAAATTTCTTTAGTAGAAGTTTAGTGGGATCTCAGGAAAGAAAAAAGATAAACTTGTGTGGCCCATCTACATACGTTTCATGGGGTGTCCAAGTTTAACTTTTGACAATTAATTTGCATGGAAGGTTAAGTAAAAAATGAAGAATGTTATTTAAAATATATTTTCTGCCTTAGGGAAGTTATTTCATTTTGGTGGAGGGTGTATACTAGGCTATAATAGGATAGCAGGACAGGGTATATGTTCCAAGGCTATGTCTTGGAGCATATGCCCTGCAGAGAAGAGGGGAGTACTGAGCATACACTGAATACTGTTTCTTGATCTTGGTTAGCCCTCTGTATTCACAGCTTCTGTATCTGTAGATGCAACCAACTGTGGACAAAAATATTGGAAAAAAGTTAAAAATAACAATATAATAATAACAATAATAAATACAATAATCCTAAGCTATTTTATATTTAAAATTTTAAAATATTATATGATGAGTATTTACATAGCATTTACATTGTATTAGATATTGTAAGCAATCTAGAGATAATTTAAAGTATATAGAAGGATATGCTTAGGTTATATGCAAGTATTAAACCATTTTATGTCAGGGACTCGAGCATCCATGGCTTTTGATATCTAACAGGGAGTCCTGAAACCAATCCCTCCCACATACCAAAGGACAACTGTGTATGAATGACCAATCTCATCTTCCAGTTTTTAGCTTACCTCTATATTTTTAAATGTGTATATAAAAATTTTTATTATACAGATGTTTTATAATTACCTTCTGTTGATTTTATTAACTTTACTGTAATTTTTAATATTATGGTTTGGGTTTTTGTTTTTTTTTTTGAGTTTTAAATTTCTTTTCCTCCCTCAATATTTTATTTATTTTACTTTATTTATTTTGAGGCAGAGTCTTACTCTATTGACCAAACTAGAGTGCAGTGGGGTGATCATGGCTTACTGTAGCAGCCTCAGACTTCCAAGTTCAAGTGACTTTCCCACCTCAGCTTCCCAAGTAGCTGGGTGCATAGGGGTTCACCACCATGCCTGGCTAATGTTTTCATTTTCTGTAGAGGCTGGATCTCCCTGGGTTGCCCAGGCTAGTCTTGAACTCAAAGCGATCCTGCTGCCTCAGCCTCCCAAAGTCCATCGTGCCCAGCCTCAATATTGTATTTTATTCTTTTATTTCTTTTTTTTCCTGTTTTTTATTACTTGAATTTAAAAATTAATTTGGGGTAAATCGATGTTTATATGATATTGAGTCTTCCCCGTTCGTGTGTATGGGTATGGTATATTTCTCCATTTATGTGTGGTTTTCAATAAAAGTATAACATGACATTAAAAACATGCACATCTTTTAAAGTATTTAGTGTTTTTGTTGTCACTGCCACTTAAAAAAATTTTTTTAATTAGTTGTTATTTGTGTGCACCAACCCTCTTGATTTTTTGTGTATATTGAACTTGTATCCAGTAACCTTGCTGAATATTCTTATTAATTTCAAGTGCTTGTCAGTAGATTTCCCTGAATTTTCCATAGACGTAATTATATTGTGTAAAAATAATTTACACAATCTTTCCAATGATTACACAACTTTTTATTTATTTCATTGAATTAGCTAGGAATATCAATAATATATTCTGGATGCAGTGATACTGAACATCATCTCTAGTTTCATCCTTAATTATAATATTTCTAACTTTTCACTTTAAATATGTCATTTGCTATAGGATTTGGTGAACATTCTTTATCCAATAAAGGAAGTTCTATTTTATTATTAGTCTGCTCAGCATATTTTTCAAAATGAATACTGAGTTAATATACTTTTTTATAAATTTTGAAATGGTCATAAGCTTCTTTCTTTCATTAATCTGTTAATGTGGTAAATTACACTAATATCTATCAATATCACAGCTATTAATAAATACTGATTACATTAATATTTTGTTATTAAACTACCCTTGTGTTTATTGAAAAAAATTCTTAGTCATGATTCCTTATAAATTGCTTGATAGCATTTGAAAATATTTCATTTCATATTTTAGCACTTACAGTTCAAAGTCAAAAGGTCTATACCTTTATATTTTCATCCAGGTTGAGTATCAAAGTTTCAGCAATCTCTTAAAATATACCCAAGCACTTTCCTCTCTCTCTCTCTCTCTCTCTCTCTCTCTCTCCCTTTTTTCCCGTACAACTGGTTGTATCTGGAACTCAATCCCAGGCTATTTTATAAATGATTGGAAAGCCATATTCAATATCTGTTTCTTTCTCTCTCCCTAGATTTAGACATATGCATTTTCCTGTCTGTAACATCTTTTTTTGGCACTTTCTGTCTTATAAAATCATCATCATTAAGATGAACAGAGAAAATCCAAAATTATCTCTAGGTATTGTTTCACACTCCGGGAATGTACTTAAGGAACCATATGGACCCGGGGAAAGATTTAAATGGAAGAGAAAAAAATGAAAATGAAACTTCTACATTTTATTACTAATATAAGATTTAAAAAGTAGGACACCACCGCAATCTGTACTGGGATTGGGGAGTAGGGGTGAATATTTTCCAAGTGCAAAAACCATAAGAGGGAAAGCATACCATTTAAAACATATTGCAAAGTTAGAGAATCAAGTTTCTACAACTGTTGGTGCTGCCTGATCTAAATCATTTTCTAAGGATCATGTACAAAGTATATATTTTTTTACATTAACATTGGAATTTAACAGGTATTCTGCTTTTAACGTCTCCTGCATTCCGAGTAGTGGAGGCAGCAGGTGGCAGTAGCTCCCACTCCAAAAACTGGGATTTGGAGCAAGTCTTGTAATAATCCATGGCCTCCCTTGCAGGCCAGCCTTTCTGTAAAGTTTCTTTGTGTCTGTAACTGCTCCTTTCATATGTGGGAAAAAGATGATATAATGCATAAATTCCACAAAGTGTGGAAAACAAACAAGAATTTTATGTGTGTGTCTTCTTTACATAGAGAATGAATAAACAAACTTGTGAAAGAGATGGGTCTTCAGCTTTAGAATTCCTCTTTTTTATTGAAAACACCCAGTGCCTTTTCATGCTTCCTAGGAATTTCCCAGTTCTTTTCTTCATGCACTACTTTGAGTCTCACTCCAGCCTTCTCTTCCCTGGAAAGTTGACCATATTTTTAGACTTTTTTGCTACCATCATTAATAACACTGGATAATGATATTAATACTAATGATTGTTTATTGAACATGTGCTATGTGATAAACTCTCTTCCAGAAGCTTTACATATTTTATCTCACTTAATCTACACAGGAACTTAATGAATTAGACACTACAATATCCTCAATTTATAGATGTTGAAATTGAAGTCCTGTAACCTGCCTAAAATCACAAAGCTAATCACAAAACCATTCGCCAGAATACTGCAAGCAACAGCTTAAAACTCAAAGGACTTGGCAGTGCTTTATATCCCTTTAGAGGAACCTATTCTGTTATCAATAAACCCTGATACACCTCACCACCTCTTGCCCCAGGCCGATATACTGCCATCCTTCAGGAAGAAGGCCGGAAGAACAATGGAGGCTAACTGACCTTAGAGCCTTTGCTATTCATCATGATGCAGGGTGTGTTAGTCAGGTAGACCTGTCATTGCCAATACCAAATATTTTCATTCCACTGGGATGTAGTTTGTTTCAAACTGTTTAAAGTGCAAATAGTTCCAAAATTCCCTTGAGAAATACATCTACAGGTGGGAATTTGAGGCCACTGTCTGTTGGTTCAGCACGGAAAAAATATGGGAATGAATAAACCAAGAAGATAAATCTCAACTTCTTCACTCATTATCTGCGAAAGCTTGGCGAGTTATATCACCACCCAGAGCTTGATTTACATCATGTGTTAAATGGTGATAATAATACTTGTGTTATTGTGAAAATTAAATGAGATAACACAGTAGAGTTTCCAAAAGATAGTACATCCACAGTTAGTTCATGTTTCCCTCCCTCAATAAACTGTAGTGCTGATGAAATTTTTCCCGGGTAGGTTAAGCCTGAAAAAAGAGGGGAATCAACAGCAATAATTGGGCATTATTAATTTTTATATCTGCCTCAAAAAGTATCTCAAATGGTGAGTGCATAATAAATGCTTACTATAAATTAATGACCAAATAAACAAATTCACAAAATTACATAGTCTGGATATTTTACATATGTAAAAATAGAATCTGTCCAAGTATTGATGTACATTTTAGAGGACTGGGGTTAAGAGATAACGATTATGCTCCTGGGAAATTTATTTATGATGACACAAGATAAATGGGAGCCCCTTATTAATTTCTGGCTTGAGGACACTCAGTTTATATTTGTAATATCATTTCTTGTTATCTCATATACTGATGCTTCAGTTTATTTAACCATTTATCAAATTAACTGATTCTTCTTCTAGACCAAAAACAGAAGATGCTTGGGTATTTGCAAAGCCCAATGCCATTCAAGCGATCGGGGTTATGTCTTTTGGTGAGTATGTGGTTTCAAAGGCCCTTTCTTAATGTGGAGTTGTCTGTTTCATGAAAAAAGTGCTGTGTTTCATATTTATGTCTGGATAGCAGATGTCCTAAGTTGTAGACTTCCTATTAGCAGCATATGATCTAGTTTGTGCCAATATAAAATTAGGCTCAAACTTTTCTCACTCATCACTAAAATTTGCTTCAATTTGGAGAAATCCATTTCTTATGCAGAAAACTCATTACAGTCATCTTGTTTCTTAACTTGGAAGGCTAACAAGTGTTATGGACTTCTTCAAACCTTGCACACAAAGTATTATAAATTGGCCAGATGTCTAAAGCTACTTTATTATGTCCCAGATGGCAAAGGAAGCCACAGAATGAAAATTATGGTATTTAAATTTTCCTTAAATGGAAAGGGTCATTAGGAAAAAGAAAATGGGAGAGAAGGTTGGACTGGCTTGGTTTATATCAAGAATGAAATGAAAAGATCATATAAGCCTGATGTGAATGAACGGTCTCATTTTTAGAGTTATTAGAAAAATTATTTTCTGACATATTAATAAATTCATATATTTAAACTTCATTTCATTGGCATCTAAAGTAGCACATGTCTTTGAATTTCAGAACTAGAAAGAAAACCCTAGTGCTTGCTTTAATAATGCTCTCTTTTTTTGTATTGCAGCATTTATTTGCCACCATAACTCCTTCTTAGTTTACAGTTCTTTGGAAGAACCCACAGTAGCTAAGTGGTCCCGCCTTATCCATATGTCCATCGTGATTTCTGTATTTATCTGTATAATCTTTGCTACATGTGGATACTTGACATTTACGGGCTTCACCCAAGGTAAAATGAAAGGTTCAGTTATAGCACATTTTAGTGCTCATGTGCATTGGTACAGGTATACCCAATGTTCTACTTATTATTGGTACAGGTATGCCCAGTGTTCTATTTCAAAGATTACTCTCTTTCACCCATTCTCTCTACTCTCCTGCCTCCCTGCTGACGGTTTGCTAATTTTTACCTTTTTAAACTGCTCAGTTTAGTTCTGTAGCCCATACGCTCTCCTTCCACAGTGTCACTTCCCAACACTTGATTTTTGGCTTTTCTACAGGGCAGCTTCATTTTCAAAGGTACCAGTGGCCTCCCAATCTTCAGAGCAAATAATCTTCTCTATTTGGATTCTCTTCAATCTCTCTGAATCACTTAACAATACTGAACTTCCTTTCTTTGCTCAAATTTTTCTCCCTTAAAGGAAAGAACATTACTATATTATCATCGTTATTCTTTCTCTCTGTTATTTTTTTTTTCTTTCTTTTCTTTTTCTCTACCGTCTCTAATCCCCCACTCCACTCTGTCCCATGCCACCCAGATAATGGTCTCAAGCATATTGTTTGCTCTTCTCTCCACAAATTTTCCAGATACTTTCATTGTTTTAATTCTAACCCAGACCTTTCTTTTGTCTCCAACCTACTGCCTGTAGGACATTTCTACTCGATTGTTCTATATTTGTCTTAATCACAAAACATCATGTTTCCCTGTAAACCAGACCTTTTCTTCCTCCCTCTAAAGATATTTCTCTGTTTTTGCATTCACCCAGCAGGCCCAACCACTGAGCAGCCCTCCCTTCTACTTCCCTGAACTCTTAAATTCAATCATTGATGTAGTGTAATATTCAGAGCGGTCCAGCAATAGGCTGTGATTTACATATTTCATAGCTCTTGCAGGTCTATTATCTCACTGACCTTCAGTCAACCCTTCGAAGGGAAGTGGAATAACTAGTTTTACTACCTGATTAAAACACAAAGAGATGAAGTAACTTGCTCATGTGCTGTCTGGTGACAAACTAGAAAACAAGTCTTCTGACTCTCAAGTTCAGTTTTCCTTCCATTCTCTTTCTGCATCCCCTATTTTGGTCAATCATGACCCTCTGAAATTTGTCTCTTTGCCTCTAGCTCTCCTTAGCTTAGTTTTCTGAAAATGCTTGGGTGCTCTTGGGAGGAAGGCTGCCTTGTTTTGAACAGAGATTACAGATCACTATGATTTTGGGCAAATATTTCTTAAAATGAAGAAAGATGGCTTCAAAAAATAATGACTAACAAAATTCCGATGCAGCCAAAAATATAATACATTCATGTGCCACTAGAGTGCAGTAACAAAGTGACCTTGAAAGTTCTGATAAGAATTGTGCTCCAAAACATTGCCATGTATTGCTATTGCTACATAGTTTACCAAGCCAAATGACCTATGGACTCTGGTCTTTACAGGACCTTGGTTTTTAAATGCCTTTTCTGTAAGACATAAATCTTTTTTGTTAGTCAATCTTCTTGGAGTTTTTGTCAGTGTAATGGCTCATATATAACTAAATCTTTATAAAACAAAGCTGACAGGTGTTGGACATTGATTTCCCCCTAGTATTTTAATTCTTTAAAATACATTTAGATTCAAGCTGCCATAAGCTGGCATTGTTTCTCCAGGCCACTTCTCCTTAGGGAAATCTAGTCTAATTTGTGCAAACTGCGTTTTTCTTTTCTAGCCTCTTTTAGTAGATAAATTTCAACTTGTGAGGCAGTGGGAACTCTGGATTCTCCTTGACATTTCCAGTGACGTTTGAAAAGACTCTAGGGCTCATTTTTTTAGTGGTTAGTGAACAAGGAACTTCCATCCTTTTTTCTTAGAGAGCTGGAATCTTTTCAGTCAACCTTAAAGCAGGTTTCTGCCACCTTTGCTTTGTGTTTTAGTGCCCTCCTGCCCAAAAGGGGGGTTCTAAAGTAATGTACATTTGTTCTAGTTGATGGGGGAAGGGGAGAGAGTCACTTAGAGTAAATCTTGGGAAGAGGCAAATTATTTAGGTTATTCAGCTTTGTAATGAAAAAACAGTACGGAGGTATTATAGTTTTTCTTCTTTTTAGATAGTATAGGATTGAGTGACTTTTATCTAATTTTCAATTAAGTGTAATTTTAAAAAGTAACCACAATTTTAACATTTAAGCATGTTATAGTCAGAAAATAAACAAGCCCAAATACTCTGTTTCAGCATTCATCATTGTTTGTTTTTTAATATTTTTTATTTTTTCCATGGACTACTGTGCAGTTGTAGGTAATTGTTTTTTGATATATGACATCTGTGCCCTGATTACATCCCTGTATTTCTTCATAGACAGCTGAGAAATACAGTCTCTAAATAAGAATTGTTTCAAAGTATATTTAGTCCATCTTCTAGTCTAGAACTTATTACATGTAATGTTCTTTCTGGGAAATAGTTGTATTTTCACAGTTTTGAATCAATACATTTACCCTTGGGCTCATGCGATGCCATGAAAGGCAACGTATGTATGAAATTTCTTTCGTGGCCCCAAGGTTGTAATGAAACCCTATAGCATGATACACAGGAAATTCAGCTCCCCAGATGTACTGGTCTACTCTTCCTTTCAGGATTGTTCTTGATCTAAGAATAGCATTTCAAAAGGAAATTTGTTTATTTTAACAGTCTTTTTTAAAAATAATGAAGTCACTTACTCACCAGAAACAAAGACCAGAAGCCAGGTTACAAAGCCAGTGCACAAGAATTTAGGGAGTTGATTCTGATGTAAGAAGACAATGGATAAAGTATCTTTCAGAATTCAATAAAAAATTTGCAGCAAATCTACCAAAAACAAATAATAAGAGAAAAACTAACGGTGATGGATTTTTGTTCATGTGGAGCATGTACTGGTTTAAATCAGTGAATAACTACATGGTTACTGAATTCAAAAACTTATATTTAGACCCAGTTATCGATTCACTTAACTAAATGAAATGAAGTTTATGGAGATTCACTTATAAGTCATGTGTCACTTAATCACAGGGAAACATTCTGGGAAATGCATTGTTAGGTGATTTCCTCATTGTGCAAACATCATAGAGTGTACTTACACAAACCTAGATGGTTGCACCTATTACACACCTAGACTATATAGCATAGCTTATTGCTCCTAAACTATAAACCTGTACAACATGTTTCTGCCCTCAATTCTGTAGGCAACTGTAACACAATGGTATTTATGTATCTAAACTAGAAAAAACAACAGTAAAAATACAGCATTGTAATCGTATATGTGGAGCATTACACGATGTGTGACTGTTAATACCTAATATATCAATTATTAGATAGTTGTCTCAAACATTTAGTATCTAGTAAATAAACTTATTTTATATTATTATCTAGGAGATTTATTTGAAAATTACTGCAGAAATGATGACCTGGTAACATTTGGAAGGTTTTGTTATGGTGTCACTGTCATTTTGACCTACCCAATGGAATGCTTTGTGACGAGAGAGGTAAGCCCGGTTTCTTCTCAACACTTTACCCAGATGATCTCTCTGCCACATTTAATTTAGGAAGATTTATAAATACTGCCGTTTGGCAAATTTCCAAGGGCATGACAAATGGTATAACTTGTAAAATTTTCTTTTCTGACTTTAAAATGTCAGAGTTTAAAGATGAATTTAAATTCAGATGTTTACAAGACAATTTTTCAAAAGTTGGATTTGAAAATTAGGTTCAGCGGATTTGACTTATATTACCATGAGCACAAATATTTATACAACTGCATTCCAAAGTGACTGCCAGCCTTTAGCAATAGCCAAACTAAAGTTGCTGCCTTTAACGCATTCTTACAAAGAAATTAAGTACCAAGGTCTAAAACAGGTGTCCCCAAACTACCGCCTGCGGGCTGCATGCTGCCCCCTGAGGCCATTTATCCGGCCCCCCTGCCGCACTTCAGGAAGGGGCACCTCTTTCACTGGTGGTCAGTGAGAGGAGCACAGTATGTGGCAGCCCTCCAATGGTCTGAGGGACGGTGAACTGGCCCCCTGTGTAAAAAGTTTGGGGACGCCTGGTAAAACATGTTTAACAAAACTGTCTTTTTGCTTAGATGTTTTATCAGTCAACATGTGCTACGGATTCTAACTCGTTTTGTTATTTTTCAAAAACTAAAATATCTTATATTCCATGGAGAACCAAAATTCAGCTGAAACTTTTAGTTTTACAGATATATTTTATTTATATATTTATATATGTAGATATATATATTTACAACTAAATTTAACATATAAGTAATCACATGAATATATAGAATGTTATTTACATATAAATATCTTTTATTGTCAAAGCCAGCTCTAAATTGTGTTATATATTCCACCTCGATTTGTAGAGAAAGATTAGCCAAGAGATAATCATTCTTTTGGTGTAAAATTGGATAACATGGCCTGTCAGGAATCCCTTATGCTGTCAGCTAAAACTCCACCATACCAGTTAGCAGTAAAACATGATCCTGCTTCATAGTGGGTCTTTCAGGGACCACACTGAAAAGGGCTCAGTCATAGGATCTGTTCCTAGATGCTGTTTGTGCAGTGCACCATGTGAAAAGGGTCTAATGTGCAAAGTGAACTATCTGCAGAGCTTTAAATACACTCAGTAATCCGCAGGCTTCTTGAGGCAGGCCAGGGCTTACCGTAAGCCAGTCCCAGAGATAAGGAATTGACCACACAGGGAAACAGAAGAGGGAAATGTCCAGCACTGTGTATGTCCTTTGCAACGAGCACTCCCCTCCCTTACACGCGTACATCTCACAGGCCAGTTCACTACCTTGACTATAAAGGAGAAATAGACTGAACTGAACTATTTTTTTTTTAGTGTAAGAGCCTTTCAAAACTATACTAGCTATTGTTAGATGCAGGAAATGGCATTATTTTAGCTTCTGCCCAGTACTTAGGTTCAAATCTGATCTCTAGATCAGTTAGAACAGATGGTGTATTCTCACGTGGTTTCTAGTAAACTGCCTGTAGGCGGTCTGACTCACTTCACCTGCACAACTTCTGTCTTTAGTACTTGAAACTTGAGTTTCCTTTCTAGCTGCTGTGACAGGAAGACAGAATTAAATCAAAATCTCTGCCATGATAGCAAATACTCAGCAGAGCAATGGTGTCTATACCTTTTCCTTCTCTTGCTCTTCATTCTGCATGCACACACACACACACATACAGACAAAAATGTACAACTGACAAAAATATAACCGAAACGTTTCAATTCATAAAAGCATTGAAAAGGCTCTCTACCCTTAATAAATCTTACTGGCTGCCTCACTAAGTGATTTTTCACTCTCACAATTACATCATAGAGGCATTTGTAAAAATGGATTTTAAATAAGATAATATTTGGAGAGACATTACAACTTCTGTTACTAATACCACCATTAAATTATTAGCAACGTCTTGGCAGTATGTGACATATGGGAAGTGTTGCATATCCAGGCAGCACAGCTTAGAGAGATGGCTTCTTTATGATACCGCAGCGTGTAACCCTCTCCTGTCATTTCCAACTCTTGCTTTACTGTTATTTTGCACAGTGTCACTAGTCATTCAGACTATCTTCTCTTTATCCTCCATAGATATCGTTCCTGTTCTTATCTCTTTGCTCTTTTACATGCTCTTGCTTCAGCCTGTAATTCTGCTCCAAATCCTACCAAGGTAGGTCAAGCACTTCAGGGGTGCTGTAAAGGAGATTACTCTAAGGATATAGCTCTAGATACTTAAAGCTCCTTCTAGTCCTAAATTCCGTTTGATCTTTTTTGTCCTGTTATAAATGGATCTCAACTTGTTTTTTTTAAGTTTGACTGTATACCTCCAAGAATTAATTCTTGAGAATAGGAATCACTTCCTTGGCATTGTATCTTTGCAAACCATATCATAATGTGGGACACATTGTCAGCCACTTTTTTATTGCTTTTCTGATCTGAGTAGTAATGAAAAATGGTGATGAACTCTTCCTTATTTTCAGTGAGAAAAGGACAAGATAAAATAGACTTAAATTGTAACAAATAGGAATTTCTTTATATAGGATTAATTTACTGTTATTAAAGGATATTAAACATCCAGTGCTCTTAAAGGAAATGTGATAGCTACTTTTCAGAGGCTATGCAAATAATCTAAATAGTATGTTGAGTTTGTTTTAGCAGTAACCTGTTGGACTTAAGAAAAAAGGATAAGATAACTTTCCAAAGTTTCTCTTACACTTGAAAGACATATGTATTGAAACATTGGTATGCCACACTATAGGTCTGTAATATAATCCACTAATAGTTCAGGAAGGAATACTTGTTATTGATATGTGTGTCTATATGTAAGTACTTTGGAAAAGATAGAACATTCCTAGTGACTTGAGATTTGATTAATATCCTTATTGGTAGTACTTTATATAGTCCTAAATGCTATTATGAAATACTTCCTCAATAAATCCTGCATGCCTTTCAAAGTCCCTCTCATAATAATCTGTTTATTCGGCAGGTGATTGCCAATGTGTTTTTTGGTGGGAATCTTTCGTTGGTTTTCCACATTGTTGTAACAGTGATAGTCGTCACTGTAGCCATGCTTGTTTCATTGCTGATTGACTGCCTTGGGATAGTTTTAGAACTCAATGTAAGTACATTTAAAGATTTATCTTTTCACTCTAAATTTTTCCTTAAAAGATGATGATTACATTTAACATAAGATGTATTTTCCTTAACAAAAGTGTCATTTTTTGAAGTGGAATGAAAATATGTTTGTCATAGTAAATATTTTCATTGATGATTCTGTGCACTTTATGGGACTCTGCACTTTTAAAGCCATGGTTGTTTGGAGACACATGGGGTCGTCACGACTGGGTAGACAGTGCTGTTGGCCTCTAGTGGGTAGAGGCCAGGATACACATCCCCCAATGCGCTGGCCTCTCACAGCAAAGAATTATCTCATCCAAAATGTCAATAGAGCTGAAGTTGAGAAACCTTGGTTTAGAGTACTTTCACATATTTCATTTACTATATAATACACAGTTGTTACTAAAAATAACTATAAATTAAGTGGTTTTTGACTTTGCTTTGCTGAATAATAATACATCTGGTGAAATTTATGAAAAATATGAATGGATTTGAGTTACAGCTATTCACTTGCTATAACACAATTTCTTTTTCTTTAAATATTTTTCTTTCTCCAGACCTTTCTTTTATAGTCTGCACTGCCATGATTTAAACAGAAGACCTCATAATACCACAGTTGAATTCATCCCAGCTCTGTTTCAACTATCATATGTTTAAGTTCGGCTTTCAGTTTATCGGCATCCTGCTAAAAAGTTTCCATTTTCCTACTAGAGCAAGTATAAATTCTGTTGCCTCTACAGGCTTGTCCTCTATGTAAAGCCATTTTTTTTTTTTTTTTTTTTTTTTTTTTTTTTTGACACAGAGTCTCGCTCTGTCTCCAGGCACCAGGCTGGAGTGCAGTGGCACAATCTCGGCTCACTGCAACCTCCACCTCCTGGGTTCAAGCAATTCTTCCACCTCAGCCTCCCAAGTAGCTGGGACTACAGGCGCACGCCACCACGCCTAGCTAATTTTTGTATTTTTAGTAGAGAAGGGGTTTCACCATGTTGGCCAGGATGGTCTCCATCTCTTGACCTCATGATCCACCTGCCTCGGCCTCCCAAAGTGCTGGGATTACAGGCTTGAGCCACGGCGCCCGGCTATGTAAAGCCATTTCTTAATTACTTCCCAAAATCTTTGCTCAGCTCTAGTCAGTCTCATTTTCCGGCCTGTGAATAACTCATATCAATTCTTTCCATTATTCTTTGTCTTATCTGCTTTTTATTTCCTATCATGATTATTTTTCCTTCATTTCTGTCCAAATTTTATGAAGACCTTAAGATCCAGTACAACTTCTGGTTCTTTTATCCACCGATCATATATTTATTGAGTAATTAGTATGTGCCACATAATAGAATATAAGGATGAATGCGATAAGAAAGGATCTATGCATTCCCACAAAGAAACATAAAAGTTCAACTGCAATATAGATGATGAAGACAGAGGAAGCCAGGCACAGGGGCTCACACTGTAATCTCAGCATTTTGGGAGGCCAAGGTTGATGGATCACTTGAGCCCAGGAGTTGGAGACCAGCCTGGGCAACATAGCAAAACTCCATCTCTACAAAATATTAGCCAGGTTTGGTGGCACTGCTGTAGTCCCAGCTACTCGAGAGGTTGAGGTGAGAGGATTGCTTGAGCCCAGACGTGGAGATAGTGCCACTGCACTCCAGCCTGGGCAATAGAGTGAGACCCTATCTAAAAAAGAAGAAGAAGAAGAAGAAGACAGAGGGAAGTGGATGGATTCCCAAAACACATTTTTGAGAAAAGATTGGCACAATTTCGCAACACAGATTTCATTGGGAAGACACGGGCAGAAGGACTTCTTGGTAATCTTTGTTAACTACAAAGTGGTTAATCTTCTAAAATCCATACAGAAGTTCTTATCAGAATCACCCACCATTTAGCATTTATTGGTCATGCATCACAGGGAAGGGAAACCCGTATAGTTGGGATCCCAAGTCATCATTTACTTGAGAATTGAGGCATAGATGAAGGTATTATTGTCAGTTCCCAAGTTACTACATCTGCCAGATGCCATTTTGATTTGAAACTCCATACAAAGGCAGGCAGGAATTCCGTCAGGGATCCTACTGGGGACTTTCTTACAAATGGAAAGTAGAGCGCAGGCAATTTTCAAACCCTGAGGCAACTGGAGAATTGTCTTTTCCACCAACAGTGGAAAGACGGAAAGCTCATAGGAAAGTAAGCAAGTACCAGAGTTAACTTTTCCCTTCTTCCCAATTTTGCATAGGCCAAATACATAGGCCAATTTTGTATAGGTCAAATGCCATAGAAGAATACATCTTATGTTAAATGTAATCATCATCTTTTAAGGATGATTACATCCTAAATAATTTTTAGTAGGGCCACTAAAAATTATTTCGCATACCAACCTTGATTTGTGTAGATGGATCACTGCTACATTAATGTGCTGACTTATTTTATGTATTATCTCATGTAATGTATTGTTGTAATGGTCTATAATCTTGCCTTACCTAACAATTGGTAAGCTCTTTGAAGAAAAGAATACTTAACCACCTCCTCCTTCCTCCATAGTATTTGGCACAGTGCTAAGAACACAGTGCTCAAAGTATTGCATGGGTGATTGCACCTTGGGACTACAGTTCAGGATCTATGTCTATAAATATTCATAGACATAAGATACTTTCTGTAATGTAGTGCCAGGAAATGAAGCGTTATAAAAAATGGTTGATGTTGACAGTCATAGTAATCTTTCAGCTATGCTGTGGAGGTAATCAACATAATGATTTCCAAACCCTGTTGTTTCCTATTTTATGAATTATCTTGTTTGAGTCCATAAATTTGTTTGTTGATATTTTAGGATTTTGTTGTGAGACAAAATATGTTTATTATCTGCCTGAACAGTCACTACATCTTGATAGCACAAGAAATTTTTTTGTTTACAAGTTAATCAAGTGCACATATATTGCTCATTTCTCAGGAATGGTATATTTTTTGTAAATCTAACCATTATTTTCTGTGAAGTTAATTGCTGATCTCCATGGCATTTGCACAGCAAAATTGTAGGCACATAATCATATTAATTATTCTCTATTATACTCACACTGGAAACTTTTTTGGTTAAGATAGAATTCTGGTATTACAGAGTAGTCATAGAAGAGTACCTTGTGACTATCTATTATAAAGTCAAGAACTGAGCTGGTCCTGGAGGACTATTTTTAAAATTTAAAAATGATTCAAGATTTTAGATTTTTTAAAACCTGATTATATAGACGTACATTAAAAATTAGAGTGCTAAATTGTCTGTTACGACATAAGAATCCAAGACAATTACGCTAGCTGTAAAACACTTTGTAAGAATTAATAAAATCTAGGCTCCATTCTCAGACCACTTGAGAATATGTGTTTTTCACCTCAGCAAGTCTTTTGGTGTGCACAATAACATATTCAAATCTTACTCAACTCCTTTTTGTGTGGGCACTTTCCATGTCTAATAGAACCAAATCAAGCATCATGTCTGTCAGTAACTAATACACTCTGGATCACGCAACACATTAGAAGTGACAAAGCATGCTGTGTTCCACTTCATAATAATAATGTGGGCTGGGAGCTGTGGCTCATTATATGTAATAATACAATAATAACATTATCATCATAATCATCATCATCATCATCATCATCATCATCATCATCATCATAATGTGGGCCAGCACTTTGGGAGGCTGATGCGGGTGGATCACCTGAGGTCAGGAGTTTGAGACCTGCCTGGCCCAACATGGTGAAACGCCATCTCTACTAAAAAATCCAAAATATATTAGCCAGGTGTGGTGTCATGTGCCTGTAGTCCCAGCTACTAGGGAGGCTGAGGCAGGAGACTCACTTGAACCCAGGAAGCAGAGGTTGCAGTGAGCCAATATCACATCACAGCACTCCAGCCTGGGCAACAGAGCAAGACTCCATCTCAAAATAATAATAGTAGTAGTAATGTGATCTACCATATATTAAGTACTTACTCTGTACCAGGTACTTTGCATGCATCATCTCCTTTTATCTATATTCAGTGGACAGGTGAAGAAACTGAGGCACTGCATGATTAAATAATCTGAGGTCATTCTAGTTACAAGTAAAAAAATCAAGATTTGAACATAGATATTTGGACCATAAAGCTCACATTTTAAATCATTATACTGCTTTGAGATTTCCTAAGCATAAGATTTTAAATTATGTAAAATTATTATTCTCATTTCTCTATCTACTTTCTTAAGTTATAAAATCTATGCATTATCTGTAAGAAAGGTTAAGAGTAATCTATTATACATAGATATAGACTTTAATATTGGGTTAAAACATACCAGGAGATGAAATAAAATGGGACTAAAAGGTTTTTGTCTTAATAATTTTTAGATAATAACTTTCATCTTAGTAATTGTAATACTTTAGTAATGTAGTTAATAGCTTTTATTTTAGGTAACAATTTTAGGACTTTATTCTTTTTCATTTTGGCTTCTGAGCTTCACAGATGAGATGAATAATGAGCTTCACAGGTGAGATGAATCAGCTCTTGCAAAGTTGGGGAAATGCTACTATTTAGTGTAACCAAATAATATGGAAGAAAATGATTTGAGGTTGTATTAGTTATTAAATTTAAAAAATCAGAACTTCACTTTCCTTTTGTTTTTTTGTTTTCATGGCAGTAGACAACAATGAAATATTTTTCCAAAGCAAACACACACTAAGTTTTAAAGGTTTTATTTTAGAAGCAAATCAAATAAACGTAAGTACTATTCTTGGTAACAAGAATCTGGAGTCTAAGCACTAATGTTGCTATTGGAGAAAAGAGGCGTCCACAGTAATTGGGTCCTATGGGTTTCTGCTTGCAGCAGTACAAACAGAGAAAATGAAGCAGCTGGTGCCTGTGGCCAGCGTAACCAGCTCATCAAGCATTGTGTGCAGTTTGCAGTGGAAGGAAGAAAGCAAGACAAATGCCAGCAAGAACCCAGATAGAAAAATACAGTCTTCGGGGTGAGCGAGCCGTAG